GGCAATATTATCGTTTATCGCAATAAATTTTGAGACAATTAATCGCCCAGCAAAATTTGTTATCGTGACAGGCCTAGGTTTGATTTCTTTGTATGTATGGATCACTTGGGTTGTTACCGACATCTGGTGAAAATTTCATGTCATTAGCACCTCTAGTAATATATTTACTGAGAAAAATGGTGACGTGTTCAATACTTATTTTACCCACTGTATAAGTTTTTTTCATTTTCACTAAATTATTTCTTCCCTTAAACTTTAAATTCTTCTCTTCTGAGTTGCTTTTCCCTTTAATATTGATGTCAGTCTACATCCTGCTTGATTGTTAGAAAATGAAAGCTCACAAAAGTCTAATGACTCAACATTTTCACATCTGACGAAGCAGCAGGAAGCAGGTTTTTGTTAAAAGCTCAAGGCCACGCGTCTGCTTCTCATTAGATTTCCAATGTAGCGGAAATGTTATGAACTAAGGTTAGCAGAGTGCTAACGTCTAAATCAGTGTTTCCCAAAGTTGGGGTCGGGACCCAAAGTAGGGTCCCAAAAGTTCAAGGTGGGGTCCTGAAGAGAAATTAATTACATTTTTGCCTTAGTTGTTACAAAGGAGTGAGGTTAGTGTTCCTGTTTGAAATCCTTTTCACTTTGTTTATCACCTTTATTACAGCTGTCATACACAGAACGTCTCACTGCTGAAATATGTTGACATGCTGCCGAACATGCGAGTTGATTTTATAAAAAGAAAAAGGCGTCAGCCCTCACAAATCAAACCCAATCAGTGACAGATTAGTATTTTCTGTGCTTCTTCTTTACAAGGAGGAAGAAAGACGACAACGTCACCTTTGATACGGTGTGCCACAACCCGGCTCAGAAACTGTACGGCCTGGACCTGGACGATTACAACAACAGCAAGTGCACCATGAAGGAGAAAAAGGGAATGGGCTCGCAGTTCTTCATCTGTTCCTGCAGTGAGGACGAGTGCAACAGGCACGTCTTATTCGACCGAAGTAAGTAACGCCAGACTTTTTGATTTATTTCCCCCTGTGAGGGTAGATGTTTGTCCATTAGCGTGTGCATGAAATATACTTTATTGTATATATATACTGTATATACAGTATATACAGTACCATATTTATTCAAGTATAATACATAAAATTTAATCCATAAAATCATGCATAAAGTTGGGGGGTAGTATTATACTCGGATAAATATTTTTACTTATATATTTTAACTGAAATATCAGCTTCATTCACAAAATGCCTCAGTCCTTAAATGAGACCGCAACGTAAAAAGCAGCTGAAGCGAGCTTACCTCTGACACTCCTCCGTGCTTCGGAGTGAGATAATAACAGATCCAAGCAGGCGACCTGATGTGAAAAAAAGGGGGGAAAGTATTCCTGCACCTTAGTAATGATAACTAAAGGCATTAGCGTGACCGGGCCGCTCCTCGAACAACAACAAACACATGTTCATCTGTAATGGCTGCCGTCTACC